AATAACTGCAAAAGATCTAAGGACTATGAATGTGGGTAATATTTACTTTTTACATTTGCAACTTTGTTTTATTAAGAACAGCTTAAATTTCGTTAGAGGTTTGACAATCATGAATCACTGAATTATAAGCAGTTGGTACCTTGATATATAATTATTAATTAAAATGCTTAATTAAAATGCATTTATTAACAGTTTGGGCATGAATTTCGAATTCAAAAGTTTTAATTAAGTAATCTTCGTATTACTGATATACAAATCCCTGAAAGTTTACGGTAATTCGCAAGCTGTAGTTCAGGCTAAGGAAGACGTTGATTAAAAATAAAATTAAGATAATTTATTTCTTCTTATCGCCATTTAAAATTTTTAAAATTGAGGCTAATGCATGTTTTACTCTTCAGTGGTTTGACTTTGTTCAAAAGTGATACAAAATCATTGCATATTTCTCTGAGTGGGGCCTACCAGCGGCCGAGCGATAAAAATCTCTGAATATTAGTAGCTTGATTCGATGTTCTCGTCAGGTGAAAGGGCTGGCTGCAAGGGCATTTACATAGTTTTCCCCATGTGTAACGTGTACGCGATTCAGTTTCCATTAGAAAGTCCTCCACGTCCCTTAGTCCAGTCTTTGCCATAATTATATAAACCAAACCAGAAATCTTTTTCGATTTGCTCAGCAACTGAAAGATGAACTCTTTCTAAAATTCTTCAGCACATATTCAGCTACGTATGTACTGCTGCTATATATTTTATGCTGAAATGATGTCGTCAATGAACTATCGTTTCAAGAAATAATTTTATAAAAGGAATACTAAAGGAAGTAATATCTGTTTAAACAGCCACAAGTGTTGAATAAAGCTTTATTTCTTCTTGTGACGAACGGTTCGATTGTTTTTTTCTGCTGTTTTGTACATATAAAGTTCGTTCAACTTTATATCTGCAATTTAAAGTATAAATTGAAAATTTTCGACTTCTAAACATACTAAGCATCTGTCGAATAATACGGATATCAGATAACTGTATAAGTACCAATAGTATGAGAAATTATGAATACAGTAAGACCCCGCTTAACGCTGTTTCGTTTAACCCGCTTTCGGTTTAGCGCTCTTTTATTTCAACCCGGGGATTCTCCGAAACTGTGCGCAGCGCTAGGTTTCCAAATAAATATCCGAAACCGTGTAGTTGTGTTTCTTGCTTTGTGGACGCATTTTTATCATTTGAAACATTTTGTGGCTTATTGTAGTTTAAATTGTATAATCTATAACGATTAATACAGGACAAAATTATATCTTTAGTTTTATCAGGGGGATATAAAAAACAAGAAAGAAAGAACCAGAAAAAGCATTTCACTGGAAATCAAATGCAAGTGATTAGAGGCTTAGTCTGGTGAACGTCAATCTCAAATTAGTGCTGCATTGATTTTGGCAACTTCAACATAAGGACAATTCTTAAAAGAAAGAAAAAAATGTCATCGGCAACTGCAACTACATCAGCTCTGCAACTAGAAGTACCCGTTCTAGAAATAACATTATAGAGGAAATGGAAAAAACGACTGTCTATATGGATTGACGACGAAATTGACGCAATATGCCATTAAGCCAATCTATCATAATGCCTCTTGACAAAAAGGCAGAAATTGGAACCCAGAATAGACTGATGATCTGACTGAGAATTTTTTTAGAAGTATATGCGTTTATATGTTTTTATTTTTGTAAGAAATAAATGTTTGATTTTTTTTTATTAAAAAAACATTAAATTAATGCCTAAACTTTTTATCCGTCTTCCCTAACCCATTATGACATGTTAAGATAGCCTCGCTTAGCGCTGTTTCGCATTACGCTCTACTTCGATGGAACGTATCCCCCGCGTTAAGCGGGGTCTTACTGTACTTATCTTTATGATTTAAAGGTACTTCCATAATAAATACACCTGTGCTACGTAAGACTTCAGTAACGGTATATGACTGCAAATATTGGTAAATTTAATAACAGTATGTGTTAAAGTATTACCTTTCACGCATTTTGATAAGCTTAATTTTGATAAGCTTTATTTATATTATAAGGCGAATAAGCAAAGCTATCTCGTGTTCGAAAAATGGAATACTGCAAGTTTCAATTCTCTGTTATATTCGCATTTGCTGTATCTCTGCTTTAAAAGCCCTTAACATTTTAGACTAAAAATTCTTTTTTTTAAAATTAAACCTAATAAACAATTTTTTGTTTTGTTACATCTGCTGATTTAAGGAAATCTCGATCAAAATCTCGAAATCGCCGTGGAACCTTAATCGAAGTACACAAATATGTCATTAAAAAATAAATATTAATAAAACTGAATTAAAGTTTTCCGACATAAAATCTTCATTTAGTTACTTATTTTTATATTATTTACAGAACTCATGGCTCTGCAGTTTGAAACGACCCAAAAATGTATTATGCTACAAAAATGGTTATTTTATTAAATGCCTTTCTAAGGTTGCGGAATTTCGTGTTCTTAGGTAGCATAGACGAGAATTCTAAGACCTAAGTGAATTATCACTGTGTCTTATAAAGTACCACAAAGGCTGAGAAAGGGTGAAAAAGACTTAAACTTAAATAGCCGCAGAAGAAAACTTGATTTGGAGCCAAATAATTTTCATACTTGTGCCATATTTCATTAGATTAATATTTGTATTACATATAATTGCTTAGTAAATAATTAAACGCGCAAGTTTTTGGTGCAGATAATAAGGAAAAATGTTTCTTTTTTTTGCTTAAGGCCTTGCAAAAAAACATAAATGAATTTATATATTCATACAGATCTATATTACATAAAGGTCTCGGATAATAAAATACCGATTTATTTATTATTATTTTCCCTTTGATGCAGCAAAATGTTTTATTTATAATATATTAAAAATATCTGATGTGGACGCCGCGTGACTTCCCTGTACGGCCTACTAAATTATACACACTTTTTTACTGCATTTCACTTATTTCCTCGAATTTCATTAATCAGTTCAGTTCTCATTTTTCGGCCAGGCAAAAATATATAAAAATTTAGATCATTTTCATTAAAAATAGTAAAATACAGAAAAATATAAAACACCAGATACAGTTAAAAACAATTTTTACAATTAAAACCAGTTTCTACGTCCAAACAGGAAATTCTGTGAAATTCTGTCAAAGAGCAGGAAGACCAAGTTTGCAATGCACAGAAATGAAAGTTAACTTTTGGTCCCACTCATAAAAAATGTCATTGAAGTTGGTAAACAACTGACTTAATTCATTATTCTACCAAAAGTTTCAAATGTAAACAGATGGAGCCCTAGCACCACTTAAACTTTTAAATTGATGATAATTCTACAACTATTGCATGCAAATTAACTTAAGGCATAAAAGCTTTAGCCGCAACACATGGGCAACATAATTCAACCAATTTCAAAGCCAAAAAAATGCACAATTTACCAGTATGCAGCGGCCGAAGAGTAAAATTGATTGGTAGTTCACAGCGGGTTTAAATCCTGGCGAAAGGAGTTCCTTTGGCTTCAACATTATGTAATAGTAATGTAATGCGAATATCAGCCAGTTCCTTTTATAAAAATGCTTTCACGATAGTATCCTTTCGCTTAGGAAAATATCCTTTGTGTCTTTTCTCAAAGTCTAAATAACCAACTTCATACTGCACATGATTTTTATCTCAATTATTTCGTCTCTAACTTAATAATTTTAGCTTACTCGAGATGTCAGAGCATTATGCCTTTTTATTTTTATTCTTCTAGAACTAAATAGGAGCTAAAGCTACAGCCAAGTTACAGATAAATCTTAGAATAATTTAAAGGACGAAGAAAAACTAGAAAACAATCTCTACTTTGACAATAAAAAGGAATTTTCAGGTATGCTCCATTGAATAAACACAAAGTTCTGGAATATTTAGAGACATGTTTAAGTTCATGATTACTTTATCCGAACCAGAGGATCGTTATTGAGTTCAATTAAATATCACTCACCTTATCTTTCATAACAAGTGTCCTTACCCAAGAAATTCTAAACACCTATCTCTCTGTTCCTTTAGATTTCCACTAAAACGCTTGCTATTACTCTACAATTATCTCCCGAGTTGGGAATTGTGTTAGACCTACTACATATTAACAGATCACTTCATTACAGCCAATCATTTCATACAGCAGACTAGTATGAAGCCAGTGCTGATTGCAAAACTCAAGTGAAGAATTAAATCGTTCATCCTGCCAGTCTCGCAAACTCAAGTCTGTAACCACACTATGGATTATTATCAGACTGTGTTCTGCTAACTAAAATTCGGCAAAAATTCCACGATGACACATTCTCACTTCTGCATTATCTCAGTCATGATTAACGTGTCCCTCAAGATGTGGATCATGTCGCCCTGCCAACTGTAATATTACGGATGTTTTAGTCCAGAACGATTAGCTTTACTTTTAAACGATTGCACTGCACGGCGTGGATAGAACTGCTTTCTTGACAATGAGAAATCGTTAGACTGGTCATCTCTAATTCATTAACAGAATTGGTGACATGACCTCAAAAAAAGATGTGATATCCGACGTCTTTTTGTGAAATGTTGCAGATTCTGCAGGCCGAATGCTTAGCTCTGTCTTGTTAATATTTACAGGAAATGGATGGAAGCATGTTTTGATGCTGGTTACTCAGCCACGACATAAAAGGCTGATCAGTTTATGAGTAATAGAATAAAGCTACATTCGAATTATTTCGATGCTGTAATGCAGCTTTTAATATAATCAGGACTTGATTATCTCACTCAATTAGTCTTGAACTTTAAACGAAGATTAAATAAACTTTCTTGTTACAGTGTCTTGGATTTTCTATTCTCTTTTGCATCTATAACATCTTAATTTGTTAATATTTTTCTAATTTCTTTTTAAATTCTAATATACCTCAATATTTGTAATTTCATTAAATAATTAATAAATGAAGTGATCATTATATTGGTTAAAATTGAAAAATACAAATAATAATGACGATGGCACAAACAGGGGCTAAACTCTTTTAATGTAATGTCGCAGTAAAACGAAAATACATTGAATCTATATTTCAACAAACTTTTTAAATTACTGCTTTGAAGCAAAGTTGTATAAGAGGTTTTGTTGAATAAATTAATACTACAAGATATCTGCATGTACTTGTGCGCTGATTGAAGCTCAAATTTATGTGTATCACAATTTGAAATATTTCAAGTGAAATATAAATATTTGAAATTTTTCCAGTTTTAAAATTTAATTGATAGCTGAACACAGTTTTTATCAGACTATAGAAAGTATTATTTTAGTTTTATACAAAGGATACATTTTAGTTTTATACAAAGTCATAGGAAAAATGACACTACTTAGATGATTTAAAATATTAAAGCTGTTACTGCAATAGATCACAATGCAAAAATGTGAATCTTTTAACTGCCATTCAATAGAAATATCAACATTTAGTCTCTTGTAAGTCATCGTTATATGGCAGGAAAATGGAGGGGTGAGTAAAGCACCTTTAATTATTATCATGCATTCTATAATTTAAGAACTTAATTTTTTTTAACTTCATGAAAAGCTGATTTTTAATAAATTCAGAAATCCCAATTCAGAAACAATGATGTCATACAAACAAAACATAAAATAGTGTAAAAAGAAAAATATTTGCTTAGATTTTTGGCCAAAAGGCTCAGAAATAAGAAATATTTTAGAGCTAAGAAGAGTATGCAAGTGTTTACATTCCCTGTCATATCGTGAATGTCATTAATTGCTTATATCCAACAACTAGTGTGTTGCTGTATTTAAGGAAAAACGCGCTTATTTTCAATTTTCAGTTATATTTCACATCTAATAATGAACTAGCACCGTGCTTCAAATACCTCAGTCTTGAGATAAAAACAAAAAAAAAATATTAGACAAAATACCCAATTAGTATCAACTTTAAAACTATATAAAACAAAGTTAATTTTTCAATATTAGTTATGCCAATAAGAAAACAAAATTTTCATTTCAGACGTTTTTTGCTCTCAAGTAAGGAGTTTGAAATGTTGGATGAGTAAAGTAAATTGCGCTAAGTATGGATTATTTTTAACTGAGTAAGTTATTCGTATAATCCTAGAAGAGTATAATGAGTTGAATGTAATTATAAGTTTATATTAATAAATATATATAAATGAAAATTAATTGTGCACTTGCATTGTTTTAACTTACTCCAAATGCATTTTCTGTTTTAAATGCAATTTTAAAAGACAACTCCTTTTGTATAGTCTAGACAAAATCAATAAATATTATCAGACGTTAAAGTAACATTGTAGTAATACAGTGCATAAAAAAAGTAATTTTTGATATTGATTGCACATGCTAGCATCCACTCTGCTTCACCATTCTTGGTACAAATTGATATAAACATATTATATATCAGTTGATAAAGGTATTCAAAAATAATTAGATTAACAGTTTTCTTTAGCAGCGGCTCATTTATGCAGTCACGATTCTTTTGTGGTTAGGGTTTTGGAGCAAATCTATTACTTTTTCACACCTAGCGATGATGACTTCAAAAAGGTGAAAAATTGAGATCAAAATGAGCGAAAACTTTACTTATATCCACATTCAGTTTTTCTTTCCGGTAAAGTCTTGGACACTCTTCAGCCATGGGGCATCCAATCTTCTTTATAAGTTCGTTAGCGGGTACGTTAGTACTAATAGTCATCATGGCAAAGCCTTTTGCTTGTGGCAGTGAGAAAACGAGCTTCTTTAACAACACTTCAGCTACTGAGGAATCATTGGCATATAATGGACCTACTTGACTTGCCTCTTGACAGCTGATCTTGATAGTTCCAAATCCCACGCATGCACCATCTTTGATTGCTACGAAGGATTTACTGTCTTTTTCTTGGCAGTTGAGTTTAAGCGCTAGTTCACGGTTATAGCCAATAAGATTAAGATCGTATTCATAAATTAATGGTAGATGGGACTCATGAAAATCTTGGATTTCAACACCATCTGGAACTATGTCGGACAAATTTTCTGGGTGGACATTTTCATGCGTCTCGTTGACTATGCACACCCATTCACTTTCAACAATAGGAAAGCCACCTCTGTCTCGGTACAGCTCAAGTTTACCGGGTACGGCATTTAATGCTGCATTCCTTGTGCCGCTATGTTCCATGCATGCATTCCAAACCTACAAAGAGTAGTAAGACAGAATTATAATGAATATCTATCAAGATTAATGAGGAGGAGATAAAACAATTGCCTCACAGTTTACTTTAAAAATTCAAGTATGCACTCTAACACCTCTTTAACGAAATTCAAAAGCCCGAAAGGTTGGTTCGCTATATCGGTTCTGATGAGAAAGAAAAGGGGCCATCTTACAATATATGTAAAAATTGATTGATGGACCACATAAAAAGTGCTTAGCATTGTCACATTCCCCCAAGGGATATTATTAATAGCAACTTTAATTTTATTAAAGCATTAAAAGCTGATTACAGTTATGTGTAGTTAATTACTTTTCCGTTGTTTTTCAGTTTTACTATACATTAATAATAAGAAAAAATAATTGGAATTAAAGTCATGGTTTAGATAAGTCTCTCCAATTAGAAACTGCCATCTAAAATATACATTGATTGTATGAACAAGCATCACACTTTGAAAGTGCTATCTGAAAGCTGAATTAAAGATTCGAATGAAATTAGAGAACCGATTTACGATCCTTCTCTCGGTTAATAAAAGGATTCTTTGGCTCAGTGCAAGACACGTTAGGATTTAAGGTATTGTTACGAACTTTGTAGATCTGTATATAATTTAAATGAAATTATATGTAAATTGTAGTATCTTGTATAATGCATGAAATGCCTCAAGAGTCGAAGCATCGCCGGGAAAATAGAGATACACGGATAAGCCAAACACAATATTTAAATTTAGATGAATTTTTGTTTTTATAAATTAAACAAGAAAAAGTATTGGCAAAATAGAGATACAGGGATAAGCCTAACACAATATTTAAATTTATGATTTTTTGTTTTTATAAATTAAACAAGAAAAGGTATTGGCAATGTTCCTACGAGAAAGAAAAACTAACAAGCATAAAATTTTAAACTTACTCGTACATAAAACTATAGCTTGCCAATCAAAATACGAAACTGATACAGCTACAGTTCCTATTTGTGTGCAAAAAAACCAATTAATGTATTTAATATATGAATTAGCATTATTTAAAAACTGCAAGAGAAGACACTTATTATTTAAATGAGGAAGAGAATGAGATACATTCCGATGACCTCATTGATCACGTGACTTATGTACACCTTTTGTAAACAAACAATGCAGATGACCTCAGAGATCACGTGGCTTATGTACAGCTAAACAAGCAAGGTCATTATTCCTCTTCTTCTCTTGCGGAATGTATCTCATACAATTTCAAAACGAGCTAATTTTTAAATTCCGAAGTTTCCCTGTTCCTTCTTTTCCACTGTTAATGATAGCTACTTCTGAATATGTTTGAAATGAAATTTAAAATCAGCATGAATAAATTACTGAAAATCGTTGCTCCTTATTTTCCGTCTGTTAATTTGCATATATTCTGAAAGCAAGCGTTATGGTTTAGAGCTGAAAAGGATTAAAAAGGTAGAAATACTTCTCATACCTTGTAACCTATCCCTAGACCTCGGTACTTCTTACGAACGCAATAAATGCCGATGAAAGCCAAATCGTCGTGGTGGATAATAGCACAGCATACTCCCAATATCTCTCCTGAAACAGGAAAGGAAAAGAGTCAATAAAAGTAATTCTGATAGAAATACTATACTGAAGTAGATCCGGTTAGTCAATCCAAGAAAGCTCATAATAAGACAAAGCATTTTCATTCCAATTGTTATTATTGATACCTTAACCATTCACTGCAGGAAATTGCTTATGGAAATGGATGTCAGCTTTTTGCATAAAATAAATATTTAGCTGTCTTGCATAAAACATCGTAAATCAGCAATATAACTTATGATAATCTGATTTAATGGTTTCAGTATGATATTACGAGGGCGCTAATATATTCAGTGGAAACAACGATCCAATGCATATCACATTGGATTTTTAGCTTTTTATACTAGCAGTATGTGGTACCATATGGTCAAACCAAGTTAAAGGTACTGTGTCAAACAAACGATGCTCTTGCTGAGGACTTGTATATTCAACATTTTGTCTTTCTTAACACTTTACCGACCGCTAGGGATTCAACAGCATACGCACGTCCGACCGGCCGCTCAGCCGCAGATTCTTCATGTTCTAAATAACTGTCAGGACAATCTGATAAATCGTCTAAATAAAACTCTCCAGTACCATTTTTTTTCGCTAATTTCTTTTTTCGCTTCGGTAATTTTTTTTTAAAAAAACGGTGTAAAAATGTGGGAGTTTACGAAGCAACGCACTTAACGCAAGTGAGCAATGTACCTCAACACTAATAATAAAATGCAGATGATATAGCAAATGGCAATTGTTTATAGCCATGGCTACCGATTGATAGGCTATTTTTTGGTAGCCCCGAGAAAAAAGGGATTAATAGGTTATCGGTCGATAGGCGTTGCCTAAAAAAGCCGATTAATAGGCGATCGGTCGGTAATGTGTTAAGAACGTTAGAACTTGCACCCATTTTTTCTACTCCAGCTATACTAGAATCTCCCTCCCAGCGGCCTAACAATTGGATCACCGAATACTGGTAGATCGATCCCGCTCAATGTCCGGCAAATGAACTGGTTACACATAAATTTTTATGGTCCTTTGCAAATATAACGTATATACGAATCAGGTTTATCTTAAAAAGTCCTCCACTAGAACAACCCTACCCTTTGGAAGACAGCCCTCGAGTTCCTTTGCAATAATCCAAACAGTCTATTTTTGCCCAGAAGAAACGCAATGCGAGAAACTAACAATTCAAGAATTCCCATCATACAGTAATTTAAAAAATGTTCAAATATTAGTTACTACTATTTGGCTCTCGGCTCTTAACACGATGTTCAAATATTTGTTAGGGCTATTGCGCTCTCGGGTCTTTACCTCAAACTCATTCCGGTTTCTACGTTCAGTGCACAATTCAACAAACTGGTAAAACGTTTTATTATTGTAGCAATCTCCCTTTCTTACTGAAAAGACGGGATGTATTCAATGTCTTCATTCCTAGTATGCTTCATACTTTTAGTTCAAGTTTGGTATTTAGTTTATTTTGATAATGACAAACTGTTGTCTGCCTAAAGAAAGGGATGACTCCGTGGAGGATTTTCTATGGGAAACTGGCTCGTTATTTTTTTTAGTTCAGGTTCTAAAGCATTTACCTATTAACCATTTGGTTAGTAGAAAAATGGTAAGTTCGGATGGCTGACTCACAGACGAAAACGAAAGCACTTCCTGCTGTCAACAGATGTCTTCACTATCTGAGTAAGTTTAACTATTTGGCTACGCATGCTTCTTAAATACAACTGACAAACTGAATGATCAGATGGAGAATAGATGCATCAGATGCAGTTTTGGGGTTAGTAATTTTAATAAAACGATGCGATTGTCAAGATTTAATGCCATTGATAAGTTGAACACCTATAATTCATTATATAGCTAGAAGTAAACGAGCAAAATAGCTGTGATTTAATTTCAAATTGTTGCATTGTATTAATTGCAAGGTATGCCTTGCTATTGTTGCAGTTACGTGTGCGACAATTTTATGATTTAAAAATATCTATATATTAAGTTAAAAGATTTGTATATTAAGTGCTTATGAGCATGAATTTAATCCAAATCTTGGACATCTGGAAATAGCCAGATAATGCTTAAAACGTGTCGCACAGAATTTCATCTACATTTGAACAGCAGCTGATGTAGGCAGTTTGTGTATACAGATGGCAACTGTGGTTCTTTGATAACATCCGAGTCATACGCGGGTAGTCAACATGGATAAAACTTCCAACTAATTCTTAACCAATATCATTGTACAGATATGGATTTCTTTAATATATAGTTAATGAGTGATTAAATTAAAGCCTAGATATCTTGGTTGATCACTTATACTTCATTTTTATAAGCTTGTATTAGATTTGCAACCTTAGCGTTCCTACAACTGGTTTAAACCAGATGCATAGCTCAATGAATTAGAAACTTTACAATGTATTCTCTCGGTATAGCGTTTTGTTCCTCAGAACCAACATACATAAAAGCTAACCAAAACTATGCCTTGTGTTGCTTCTAGAAGCAGATGCATAAAATTTCATTGCTGGACTAATTGAAATATTTTTCAACATAAATTTAGTGAGTTGTATGTTTTTTCCATTTGCAAAGGAAATTCGGTACACACATGCACAAAAAATCATAAATAATAGCTTTAATATGTAAATTAATATAATAATAAACTATTAAAATAATCTCAATAAATCCCTAACATGTGTCAGAAATAAAATCACTTCAACAGGGCTGCATAAACAAAATTTGGTAAATGTGTTCACATGACCAACTAGTATTCTCGTTAATTTGCATTATATTTTAAGGATATACAAGAACAAATGGTAGTCATTGGACGTTAGTTCGAGACTGTACGGAGAATGTTCAAGTTCTTCCCAGCAAAATGACGTGATGAGATTTTGAGTGTTCGGCCGCATGCGGACAGGCACTGTCATGAAGTAGACCACTCCCCTATTCAGCATGCCACGCCTTTTGGTTTGGACTGCATGGCGCAGTTTAAGGTATCTCAATATGTCGCAGAATTTATTGAGTCACCACGAGGAAAAAATCAACAACCCTTTCCTGTCCTTAAAAACATGATTAGTAGACATGATTTTCTGGACTCGAACTTTGCTTAAACTTCATTATCTTGGGTGATGATGAATGTTGCCATTCCATGGTTTGCTGCGCTTTCTCGTGTCAGGTTTCGTGGCCTGTGACAGTTTATCTGAAAAAAATCATCACCTTCCTCACTGTACCACTGAAGGAAAGTTAATGCACTATCTAAATGTTTGGTTCTATGCACTTCTATTAGCATTTTCCGTACCCAGCGAGCGATCAATTTCCGACAATTTAAGCATTCGCTCACAGTTTCATACCAAACACTCCGTGAAACCCCAGGAAAGTCATCAGATAATGACAAAATTGTAAAATCGCTTGTTCTGTGTCACTCGTTCGCCAATTTTCTAAATAAAATCTTAATAACAAAAGAACGTCGCACACTTCGTTCATAACCATGAACGTACGTGTGGCCATCTTTAAAAGCTCTAACCGAATTCCATATCATTTCATCTTATAATAATAAAAGCAAGTGTAATGTGTCTGTCTGTCTGTCTGACCGAGCTCTCCAGCCAAATCTATCGCACGCAGGGACCTGGAATTTTTTATCGGAAGCACAAAGGGGATGGCACCAGACCTCGAAGCCCCATTTCGAATTTTTGAATAGAAAAATTTAAAAAAATTATTTATAGTAATTAAGCCCGGTTTTTTTTGATCGCTGATATTTTATTGTTTCAAAGAAAGTCGATGTAAAATTGATCGTATTTAGCTGGTTTGCTGTTTGACGAACATTAAATCGATAATTAATAATTCATTTTTTTTGTAGCTTTGGGCCGGGGGGGGCAAGAGAGTGGACGGTCTACATGCCTACTCTACTATTCTGCGCATCCTATTGCTTTTCTAAATGCACGGGCAACGCCGGGCGGGTACACCTAGTCTCTAATAATGCTTTCTGGTACTATTCTGTTTTGAGGGCTGTAAAAAAATTCAGCGAAAATGTGTGCGCAAAAGCGCCAAATCTAGCAAACGCGCCCATGTAACAGCGCGCCAAAATCTACGGAGAGGGTTTACAAAATCGGAAGGGAAGGATGACAATCCCGCCGGGATTTAGCGCGCATACTTCAAATTCTCACAGAATGTTACTCTATCGATTTGTCTTTTCAATTCCCCCCCCAGTCCCTCGCTCGAAATCCTTTCCTCCGCACCCTCAGCCTGCTCCCGTTTAGTTTCCCGGGCGCAGCCATTTGCTCCCGTTTTCTCCCGGTAGCGCATCTTCGTTGTGAGGAGAAAACAGGAAAATTGAATAGTCGATACAATGTCTCGGATAGTTTGCCAATATATAGGTAGTTCAAATCCAGCAAAAAAGATGGCGAGGATATGAGTTTTCTTCCTCCAAAACGAAATCTAAATTTTTGAAAAATAATAAACCAGAATTATCGAAACATTTTTAAAATTTATCGAACTTATTACTGGAAATCTATTTTTTTCAGATTATTTAAAATTTTTGTTCATCTTCTCTAGAATTCGAATATCATTTTGTCAAATGATCATCGTAAATACAAGTATTACTTGTAATTACGATGTATTACTTGAATTTAAAAATATCTATTTCTCGCACTAGCTCCGTTTTAAAAAATCAATTGTAAAATTTTAGGAATTCATCACTTTATTAACAATTAGATTTGGATCATTAGATAAAAATTCTTGCAGGTAAATATTATTGAAGTGCCTTCAATTTTCTCTTTTTAACATTCATAAAGTTTTTTTTTCTCGGTCCCGGTTCATTAATTAAATCCAAACACAGAGGCCACACGCCTTCTTGGATTTGGTGGTGTATTTAATTATGGCAAAGCACACTAGG